GTTTAGAAATCTCTTACTCCCCGACATTAAAATTTATTACATGGCTACAGTGGTCAAAATAGCTTGGTTGGTACAATGAAAGATACATAGATCAATGGAACAGAATTGAGAGTCCAGAAATTACCCATCCACCATAAAGCTAACTGGTTTTTGACAAAGTCCCTAAATATATCCCATGGGGAGATGATAGTCTCTTCAACAGATTTTACTGACAGAACTGGAAAGTGATATTCAAAAGATTGAAACAAGACCTTCACCTCAAGCCTTATACAAAACCATTTAAGCATGGATTAAAGATCTAACTGTGAATGCCAGAGTTATGAAGGCCATCAATGAAAAAAATGGGACAAATGTGAGGGCACTAATTCAGGGAATACACAGACTACAAAACATTTTGAAAACTACACAAACAAAAGTAGACAACATAGATAGTTGGGACATACTAAAAATTAAAAACTTATCTGCATCAAAAGACTTTACCAGAAGAGTAAAAAGGGAACCCACAGAATGGGAAAAAATCCTTTGCAATGAAACATCAGACAATAGTTCTAAAATATATAGGAAACTACAACATTTCTACAAGGAAAAGACAAATAAAACAATTAAAAAATGGGCACAGGACATGAACAGACAATGCACCAAGGAGCAGATCTGGGCAGCCAACAAATATATGAAGAAATGTTCAAGATCACTAGCCATTGTTGTTGTAGTTGTTAAGTGCTGTTGAGTCGGTTCCGACCCATAGTGACCCTAAATAGGGTTTGTGAGTCATTAGAGAGATGCAAATCAAAATAACAATGAGATATCATCTCACACCAGAAATAACAGCAAAAATAAAAAAAAGTAGAGGACAATAAATGCTGGCAAGGATGTGGAGAGATTGGGATGCTCCTTCATTGCTGGTGGGATTGCAAAATAGCCCAACCTCTCTGGAAAGCATTATGGCACTTTCTCAGAATGTTAGAAATAGAAATACCTTATGATCCAGCAATTCTTCTACTTGGTATTTACCCACAAGAAATACGAGCCATAACACGAGTAGATATATGAACACCAATGTTCATTGCAGCACTGTTTACAATAGCAAAAAGATGGAGACAGCCTAAGTGCCTATCAGCTGAAGAATGGATGTGTACATACACACAATGGAATATTATGCTACTTTGAATAATAACAAGGAAGCTGCAAGCTACCGCATAACATCTAAGAAACTTGAGGACATGATGATGAGTGAAATTAGTCAGTCAAAAAGGAGAAATAGGACCACTACTGTAAAAGACTAAGAAAAAGAACCCATACCAAAGCGGGGGGTGGGGGTGGGGGGTGGGATTCTTTGCTGGTTACTGGGGTGTGGGGGGTAAGATGAGAGTAGGTGGAACACAGGGTAGGGAATAGACACAGGATAGTTTGGGTGCTAGGGAGGTGGGCAATAAACAAGAAGGGGGAGGGGAATGGAAGAACAAGGAGGATAGGAAAACAGTTAGGCAGGTTTGCATGGGCTAAGTGGGACAGAGATAAATAATAATGTATGCACAACTGTGGAAAAACAAGGCTCTGGGATACAGGGATTGAGACATTGTTGGAATGGAACAAAGGGGGACAATAATGTTAAGATGCTTCACTGTCTTTTGAATCTGGGTTTCCCTGGTATACCATTATAAAATAGACACTTGAGAGGGAGAGAAGGAATAGCCAGAAATATCAACATAGAAAGCTTTTAAGTCCTTCTTCTGCCTATAACTGATTGGCATACCTAAAATGGTGTTACCACATGCCCAGTGAAGGAGGCTTCCGGTGGAGCCTCTGCATTACATAAAACAATAGGTGGAATCCTGAACCCCATCCAGAATCTTCTGAGGTTGGAAATTTCCACTTGAAAGGACAAGTATACTAGCCTGGAGTGACTAGAAGAACAGAAGATACTTCTTGAAAGAAAGACCGACATGAAAAACAAAAAAACAAAAATGGCAGTCCTCCTGCTTACAACAAGAAAAAGCAAGTTGCTTACCCAGGAGACTTCAAGGCAAGTGGTCAGGACGTCTCAAGGCAAACCCCCTTCCAAGACTAAGACTCAATGAGAATACATGAGCAGACATGCACTCTGATTGACGACCACGTTTGTCAACGATAAGGGGTAGTGAGGGAAAAACAGCAATGAAACTGTGAGCTAAGCCTTACAACATTCAACACACTCCTGTGAACCCAGGTACAGACCTGGTTGGCCAGCAGTGTGGCAAAACCTTGGGACTCTTGGGCCCAGAGTCAGTGACGTAGCCACAGAGAACTGCAGTGGAAAATGAAGTGTCCAGCTGATAAGAAGAGAGAGCATATGCATACAAACACCCACACTTGTATATAATACCCCCTTGACCTGGATTCAATGAGTGGGTGATCAGATCTCAACTAGAAGAGGAAAGAAGAGGAAAAAAGGAGTAATCTGATACAATTTGATGAGCTTTACCTACACCTATGGATACATTCACTCAAAAGAGGGAACAAATCTTTACAGTGAGGATCATTCCCTTTCTCTGCATACACAGAATAGACAGGGATAGACAACTTGGACATTGGCTACACAAAATGGGGGTGGGGAGCTACAAGGGCAAGAAGTGACTGACTTACAAGCTTTCAAGAGGGAACCTAGATCCAGAGGACACGGAGGAATGTAGAATCTCCACTGAACAGTATCCAGTGTATTTGGGGATAGGTCTCTTGTGGTACAATAGTGAATAATTATCAGGACTGACTGTGAGGGTTGGAAATGTAAAGGTAGACATTTTGTAGTAAAAGAAGGCGAGTGATTGACTTTGCAGTCCAGGAGCAAAGATCCCTGGGACCATCAAGGGAGAAGAGCAGAGTGTGGGACCATACGCAGAGAAACAGTGCCAGAGATGGAGGCAGAGGCGATGATGTGGAGAGATGGAGCGGAGGGGCACTCTAGACCCGGAGAGGGAGATGGGCTGTTTGCTGACGACCAGAGGGAAGATTTGCAGGGTAAACTCTTTGGTTGGTTGATGAAGCATGAAGGGGATTATAACCATGTCAATTTAATGATACATGATAGTATGACTGTAAAGCTAATGTTCATCCATGTAAAATATCATATAATTCACAATAAAAATTGACACACACACAAAAAAAAACATAATTATACACATGGACCTCACCGGATGAATTTCACAGAAGTCAATTTGCTTAGATGTGGAAAAGCTACATATCATCAGCCAAAACAATGTCATGGGAAAACTGTGGAACACACCATCAATTGCTTGAAGCAGAAGTAAATTAAATGAATTCCTTAAGGTCCGAAATATGACCTTGAAAATAACCCATCTGAATTTAGCGATTATCTGAAGTACAGATTTTATACATTAAACACTGACGACCGAAAACCAGAAGAGTTGTGAGATGACATTAACACCATCACACAAGAAGAATGTAAGAGGTCATAAAGAAAAGAAGAAAGAAGTAAAAGGCCAATATGGATATCAGAAGAGATTCCAAAACTTGCTCTCCTACATTGAGATGCTAAAGGAAATTGAGGTAATGAGGGGGTAAACGAGCTTAAAGAATATTTCAAAGAGCAGTTCTATAAGGTAAAGTCAAATATTATAAAGAAATGTTTAAAGACCTAGGATTAGAAAAACAGAAGTGAAGAATACAATCAACATTTCTCAAGCTAAGGATAGTGAAGTAAATACCCAGTCCTTGGCTTGCAATATTGAAGGATTCTAGGAGGCCTGGTGTAGCCCTGTGAGTTCATAAGCTGAACTGCAAAGTCAATATGAACCACAAGGTTGATGGTTCAAGTTCACCAGTTGCTCTTTGGAAACCCGATGCAGGGTTGCAATGGGTCAGAATCAACTTGATGGCACCTAACAACAACAACATGGGGAAAAAAATTGAATTGTGCAGAGAGTATTAAAAGAAGATGGGGAGAGGGCAAGGCTTGTTGGTGTATTAGGAAGACATTTGGTGCAGACCACAGGCAGTAATAATACAGAATATGGGATGAAGCAGGTTCAGGGGACAGTCCAGAACTCTGAACTACATATAAAGCAATATGTGGAAGGGTTGGTTGATGGACTATGACTAGTGAAATTTGTTGCAGTATCAAGAAAAGAGGCATTTTCTGATCTGCTCCCGACAGTGGGTGCTAGAGATGCCATCTTTGGCATGACTGAGCTGGAACAGGATTAGAGGTGCACTCCCAATACAGAGGTCTGACCAATCATCAGTGATAAGGTGTGAAAATTTTTTTTCATGTGAATTGGTCTCTCACAGTCTGAGCACTGAGCACCTCCACTCTGGTGACTCGAAGGGGAGCTTGAGTGAATTCATGTTCCTCCCTCCCCCAGAGGGTTCTACTACTCATGTGCATGGATTCACTTAGCAAAGCCCACAGCATGCAGAATCTAAGAAGGGTGAGCGGTCAGCAGGAGCTGTTTAAAATAGAATGGTCTCCCTGAACGGCTTCAGCCAGCTGAGTGAGGGGTGTTAAAGTCATACTCACATTTTGCTACTTTCACTTTTTTTTTCTCTCTCTCTTCTGTGACTTTAATGGGAGCAATGCTATTCATTTTATTGAATTCTCTTTTATAAGCACCAAATCTTAATAATCTAAGTCAATTTTCTGAACAGAACTTCCCTCGGGAACAATATAATGATGCTCATTCCTCCAAACATCCACATGGAAGGGCTACCAAAAGCAAAATAAAAATGGAAGGGAGGGGAAAACAGCCCACACAGAAATACAGAATAACAAAAATCACATTCTAGGGGTTCAGTGCACAAAGCAGCCTCATTTGTGCTGCTGGATTATCCTTAAACTGACTGTCAAAAAAAAGAGAGAAAGAAAATACACACACCCTAGCACATCAAAATATACATTTTCCATTTGCGTTTTTTTTTTTTCTTTTTAAATTAAAAATAATTTTTTAAAAAACCCTTAAGGAATTCACAATCAATTGCCTGCCTCGTTCTGATGTCATCTATGATGAGTGACATTCATCTTCAAGGCTTAGTCTTCCACACAGTGTAAAATACCCACAATTCCAAGTACGAAGGGACACAGACGATCTCCTTGGAGAAATCCACAGGGCAATACAGGCGCCCAAGCTGTTCTTCGTAGAGCGACAAGGCTTCTGTCAAATTGACACAGTTCCCCTGTGTAAAATATTTCCCATCCTGTTTCAATACTTTCATTGAAAGGTCAAGAATCAGTCTGAGAAACACCCATGTGGAATCTTCCTCTGGAGACGGAGAGATGGGGACAGCTGTCAAATCATTAATCACATAATCAAACTTCCTCCCTTCTTTGGCGTATCTCTTCAGTACTGGAATGCAGTCTTCTATTAGAACCTGATAGCATTCTCCTTTAAGATTGTCTAAAATTTCGCCACATGTTTTTCGCAAGTATTTCTTACATCCATCAATCACCATTTGGTCAATTTCTACCATAGTGACCATCTTTGGTTTCAGTTTGACTATTTCACATAATATGCCCCCATCTCCGCCTCCCAGAATCAGTACGTCTTTGCCAGTGTAATCTTCTTTTCCACTGCCCATGATGGCCCGAGTATATGCCAGATCACTCTCTGCCAAATTGACATCCCCACTGAGGATAAGAATATTTCCAAATTGCTTCGAGTGTAGAATTTTAATGTTCTGGTAAGGTGAATCTTCATCATATACCACTTCATCGATGTCATACTCCACCAAGCGTCCATCAGCAGTGGGCCAATATCTGTCAATGGTCCCTCCTCGAACTATGGGTGGTAAGCGCTTCACCTTTGTACTATTCTGACTCAGTTCTTTCATTCTTTCTTCCACTTTCCTCAAAAGACTGTCCATTTCTTTGTTGCCTTGCGCGTCATTATCATAACTCTGAAGGTCCAGCAACACCAATCCATGGGGGTAAATTCTCAAATTGGCAAAGCTGCCGTTTTTGTTGGTGAAGGTTGCTAAGTAGCCATGGTCCTGCCAGGTATGCACTGACTCCGTCATTCCCTGCTCCTGGAAAATGGACTGGAGGCCTTTCAGAATGGTCTCGCCATCAGCTTTGGCGCCGAGCGTGAAGTCCAGGGTGCTGTGCCGTGCTGCTGCCATAGTGCGGTGAGGCCCTGGGCCAGGCCTGGGAGGCCGCGGTGGTGGGAGACTGCAGGCAGTGGGGAGGCGGCGGCGGGAGGCCCAGGGCATAGGGGGAGGGGCTGCCGTGAGCAGTTGGGGAGCAGGGCGGGGCTGGGCCCCTGAGGAGGGCTAACCAGCGAGTGGGAGGCCGCACTAATGGTGGAAGCCTACTTTTACTTTTTTTGATTATAGACTATAGTATCCAATCTGTTTTACTTTTGATATTGTGGTTTTATTTTTTGTTATTTTGGTTCCCCTTTTACCTTTGAAGGGGAAACTCTTTCTCTCCCTACATTACCCAAGAAGAGACAGTAATTGTGGTCATATAGCCAGCCTGCAATCATACCCTGTAAAACCCTACCATCAAGGCAAGAGCCAATACCAGCTGCTATACACAAAATAGACAACAAAACCTGCTACAATTACTCTGAGTTTAGTAATAAGAAAAGTGAAAAGGGAATCCCATTTCCTGATCACAACTACCTGGAGGCAACCAGAAAGCTTAATAATACATCAACATACATTCATCTAATTATTGAAAACACATATAATTATTGAACATGCCCAAGAGACAGTCAAAGATTTCGGCACATGTCCAGAAACAAGATAAAGTAACTAAAACAAATGAGTTGTAGGTAGACTTAGACTTGTTATTTTAAGGAGGACAGGGTGTGGAATTGCATCCAAATGCTACACAGAGGGGTTGAGAGGAAGATAAAGAAATTTGATACAGGAAACAAGTGTAAATTGCTACAATTTGATGAACTTGACCTATAAAAACACAAACTGGCTGACTTATACATTTTCAAGTGGGAGTTTAGGTTCAGAGTGCAGAGGAAGTTAGAATTGCCACTAAATAGTTTTCATCTTGTCTAGATGGGTCTGGTGAAAGCAGATGGACATAAGATTTTTATGATTCAATAGTGAGTAATGGTTATCATAACTAATTGCGATGGTCACAACTGTAAAAGTAGAAGTTTTGTAACATCAAAGGGGGAGTAATCAATCTTACCTTCCAGGAACAGAGGCCCCTGGGACCATCAAGATAGAAGAGCATGAGCAGAATATGAGAACCTTTCCAGAGAAACAGCAACACCAGAAATGGAGGCAAAGGTGATGACATGGAAAGATAGAGCACCTGAGGACTCTAGACTCATGGAAAGAGAAAGACTTTGTGCTAGTGGTCAGTAGGCAGGCTTGAAGAATATACCCATTAATTGTTTAAACGATTATGCATTCCTGAGTGTTTTTGTGTACATCCAAAAACAAAACAAAACAAAACAAAAAAACAGAGGGATTAGAAGCAAATACTGTTGACTGTTGATGCATGGAGGGGATTGTAATCATTGCATTGATACGGAATATGATAAGATGAGTGTAAACCTGATGTTCTCCCATGTGAACTATCACTCAATGAACAATAGAAACTTAAAAAAAAAAATTAATCAAAAGAAAACAAAAAAAACACTATACTTGGTTCTTTAATAGGATCAATTAAATTGTCAAACTTCTACATAGACTGACAAAGAAAAATGAACATGTAAATCAAAATAAGAAACAAAAGTTGAGTCATTACCCCTGACCTTATGGAAGTCTAAAGGATTATAAATGTAATACTATGAACAACTGTAATACAAGAAGCTGGATAATTTATATGAAATGGATAAGCTCATAGAAACACATAAGCTACCTAAACTAACTCAAGATGAAGTTGAAAATCTCAAAAGACACATACTGAGATGAAATAGTATTATAAAACATCTTAACAAAGAATATCTCTGGACCAGATTATTTCACTTGTGCATTCTACCAAACATTTAGACAATTGACACCAATTCTGCTCAAATTCTTCTAAAAAAAATGATTTAAGAAATCCCCTTTAACTCTTTTTTCTGAAACCCTCATTACTCTGATATCAAAACCAGACAAGAAACCGCTAAAAAGGAAAATTATAGACCACTATCCCTTATGAATATACATGTCAACATTCTCAACAAAATACTAGCAAACAGAATTCAACAGCTTACTAAAATTATTATACACCATGTTTGAGTTTAATTTTATTCCACGAATGCAAGGAGAGTTTAACATTAGAATATCAATCTGATACACCACACTGACAGAACAAAAAATAACCACATGATCGTCTTAATTGATACAGAAAGAGCATTTGGTAAAACTCACCACCCTTGATAAAACACTAATAAACATATAAACAGACAATAAGATGCTCAATATGATTGAAGGCATCTTAAAAAATTAATAGCATTGTTTTCAAATAAACAAAGATAGAAAGTTTTCTTCTTGAAGACAGAAAACAACATCTACTGTTACCACACTTAATATTGTCCTGGAAATCCTAGCCTGAACATTAAGACACACACACACACACAAAAAAAAAAAAAATATCTAAATTAGAAAGGAAGATGATGTTATCCTGTATAAGGAAAATCCCTAATAATTTACTAAAAAGCCTCTAAAGTTAACAGGAATTCAACCAAATTTCAGGATACAAGGATAATACACAAAAACTTGTTAAGCTTCTCTAAAGCTATGTTGAGAACTCTGAATGTAATTTTTTTAGGTGCCATTGAGTCAGTACCGACCCTCTGTACAACAGAACAAAACACTGCCAGATACTGTGTCAACCTTACACATGTTGCTACATTTGAGCCCACTGATGCAGCCACTGTGCCTCTTTTTCTCTGACCCTCTACTTTATCAAATATGATATCCTTCTCCAGTAACTGGCCCCTCCTTGTAATATGTTCGAGGTAAGAAAGATGAAGTTTGGCCATCCCGGTTTCCAAGGAACACTCTGGCTGTATTTCTGCCAATAAAGATCTATTTGCTTTTTGGGAAGCCCATGGTACTTTCAATGTTCTCCTCCAACTCCATAACATAAATAAGTTTTTCTCTGGTTTTCCTTATTTGCTATCCTACAGTCTCATGATTATGAGATTACTGAAAATACCATGGCTTGAGTAAGGAACACCTGCAATCCTGATACCATGTTGTTTTTCATATAATCCAACTTCTTATATCTTCATTATATAGATTGAGTAAGTATGATTAAAGAATAAAACCCTGCTGTATACCTTTTTTGATTTGAAAACAATCCATGTTTCCTTGCTCCATTTCAACAACTGCCTCTGGGTCTACATACATGTTCATCATAAGCACAATTATGTTTAACAGAATATACCCATACTTCATAGTATTGTCCATAGCTTGTCATTATCCACACAATTGAAAGGGTTTATGTAGTCAACAAAGCACAAGTAAACATCTTTCTGGTATTCTCTACTTTCAGTCAAGACCTATCTGACATCAGCAATGAAATCCCTCATTTCATGTCCTCTTCTGAAACTGGCTTGAACATCCAGTCTATGTGTGGTTGCAGCCATTTCTGTATTACTTTTAGTAGAACTTTACTCACATGAGATATCAGTGATATCTGATATCTGATGATGTTCAAATTCTGTTGGATAAACTCTCTTATAATGGGAAGAAATATAGGTCTCTTCCAGTCAGTTGATCAGATATTTGCCTTCCAACTTTCTTAGCATAAATGAGTGAGTGCCTCAAATGCTGATTCAATTTGTTGGATGGTTTCAATTTGTATTTATTCAATTCCTTGTGCCTTGTTGTTTGAAATTACTTCTAAGAACCTTGGACTTCCTATTTTAAGATCATTGGCTCTTGATCAAATGCTATGGTTGAACATCGACCATTTCTGATTGGTATAGTGACTCTGTGTATGTCTTCCATCTTCAAAATGATGCTTTTTTCTTCATTAAATATTTTTTCCACAGAATCCTTCAATACTGTAAGTCGAGATTTGAATTTTTTTCTATAGTTTCCTCAGCTTGCAAAATTCTGAGCTTGTTCATCCATTTTGATTTTCTAAATCCAGGTCTTTGCACATTTTTAAAATAATATTTGACTTTAGCAAAAATGAAATGAAAAGCATAAGCATCGATATTTTTAGCATCAGTGAGCTGAAATGGACTGGTATTGGCATTTTAATTCTAACAATCACATAATTTACTATTCTGGGAACGACAAACACAAGAGGAATGGTGTAAAAGAACATATCAAGATTAGTCATGAGGTACAACGCTGTCTGTGATAGGACAATATCTATGTGCCTACAGGGAAAACCAGTTATTACCACTAATATTCAAATTTATGCACCAACCATTAAAGCCAATGAGGATGAAATAGAAAAATTCTACCAACTTCTTCAATCTGAAGTTGATCAAAGATGCAATCAAGATGTATTGATCATTACTAGTAATTGGAATGCAAAGGTTGGAAACAAAGAAGAAGGATCAGTTGTTGGATATATGGCCTTGGTGACAGAAATGATGCTGGAGATCACATAATAGAATTCTTCAAAAACAATGATTTGTTCATTTCAAATACCTTTAAACAGCATAAGATATGAATAACACACACGGACCTTGCCAGATTGAATGCATATAAATCAAATTGACTACATTTGTGGAAAGAGACTATGGAAAAGCTTCATATCATCAGTGAAAACAAGGCCAGGGGCAGACTGTGGAACAGACCATCAATTACTCCTATGCAAATTCAAGCTGAAGCTGAAGAAAATGAAAACAAGTCCACAGAGCCACAATATGTCCTTGAATGTATCCCACCTGCATTTAGAGATCATCTGCAGAATAGATTTGATACATTAAACACTATAGACTGAAGACCAGAAGAGCTGTGGGATGGCATTAAGAACATTATATGTGAAGAAAGAAAAAAGTCATTAAGAAGACAAGAGAGAAGGAAAATATCAAAATGTATGTCAGAAGAGATATTGAAACTTGCTCTCCAGCATAGAGAGGCTAAAAAAAAAAGCAACTGGAAGAAATTAGGAGGTACAAGAGCTGAACAGAAGTTTTCAGTTTATCTTGAGAAGATAAAGTCAAATATTACAATGAAATGTGGAAAAAAACAAAAGGGAAGAACACACTGAGAATTTCTCAGGCTGAGGGAACTGAAGAAAAAATTCAAGCCTCTACCTTCATTTTTGAAGG